TTGGACCTTCGTACAGGCTCTCCACGATATCGACGACCCTTATGGGCATGACGGCGTCGACAAGGGCATGCCTAATGACCACGTGGGAGACAGAGTCGAACGCGTCAGCAAGGTCCAGCCACGCGACCACCACTTGTTTCTTCAGATCACGAGCGCGCTCTATAACGCAATGCAGCATGAAGGAATGCTTAAGGTACCCTTCATGCGGCAAGAATCCCTTCTGGGCAGCGTACAAACGGTTGTTTGCTGTCGCCCAGCACATCAGGTGATCGGCCAGCACTGCGACGACAACATCACCCATCGCAATGGGTCCCCAGTTACTCAAATCGTTCTGAGAGCCCTTCTGGTGCAGAAGCACCAGACTCTTTTTCATCCGCGAGGAATATGCCCAGGCGAAAACATGCGTTGTAAACAGCGGTTGAAATCGCAGCATCCGGGTTAGCCTTCTTGTGGTCTCCATAAATAACCCCGTCAGGTTCTGATGGATGATTTCTTCATCTTTCTGAGACGACGGAACACCACGAACGCTAGAGGGGGCAGAGCATTGTTGGACTCAGTGAACGGTTCCACCGTATCCCGGAGCTGTGGGAGGGGACCGGCACCTTCCGTCTGCGCGAAGGTGTCTGTAAAATGCCTTTGGATCGTCTCTTTAGGCACTTCAGAGAAAGGAGAATCCTTGTGGAAGATATCCTCTACCGCGCGCTTCCGGTTAGCCCGGTACAACTTCTGTATCCTTCGGATCTCCCTCGTGTATTCATCGCGGCTGATCTGAGAACCGGGGCATTGCTCCGGTCGAGCCACCCTTCTCGACGTGTGCGGCCTCCCAGCGGGGTCGCCGGCTTGGTACTCGCTCCAGTCACAATTTTGACTCAGCGTCTGCGTACACTTCCAGGCTGTTGCGGGACTCTTTCGTTCATTCTCCTTGTGTCTTGGATCTTCCCCCAAGAACTGCGGGCGGCTGTGCGCAAACACAGTCGGTTGCAGCATAGGGTTTGCGATTTCGGGGTACCCTAGCACGTAGCATACCTTAAATAACCAGTGGTCATGTTTCGCAGGAGCGGGGACTTACCTTAATTGACTGGTTCTGCGAGGATGACATAACCTCTATAAAAAAATCCCTAACCGAACGCTGAGGTAACGCGACATCTCTCAGTCGATGGCCTTAGGAGATGAGCTGGTGGGTACCTCAGGACACTGGGTGACCTCCTGAGTGTAGCAGCTTTCTTCCCGGAATGGGCGTTACCCGAGAAGTGTCGTCACAACTCGTGGGATCTGCATGGATACTAAATATAAATCTGGTG